CGGAGACTCGGGGACCGCTTTGCAGAACACCTACGCTCGGTTCGCAACAAACAACTGCACCTCCCAGTCGCGAACCATTTCAACTCCCCCTCCCATTCCTCAGACGACATGTCCATCCTGGGCCTCCTGCAGTGCCACAACGATGCCACCCGAAGGTTGCAGGAACAGCAACTCATATTCCGCTTGGGAACCCTGCAGCCTAATGGTATCAATGTGGATTTCACAAGTTTCAAAATCTCCCCTCCCCCCACCGCATCCCAAAACCAGTCCAGCTCGTCCCTGCCTCCCTAACCTGTTCTTCCTCCCACCTATCCCCTCCTCCCACCTCAAGCCGCACCTCCATCTCCTACCGACCAACCTCATCCCGCCCCCTTGACCTGTCCGTCCTCCCTGGACTGACCTATCCCCTTCCTAACTCTCTACCTACACTCACCTTTACTGGCTCCATCCCCGCCTCTTCGACCTGTTTGTTTCCTCTCCTCTATCCCTCTTCTATCCGCCTCCCACACTCTCCCTATTTATTTCACAACCCCCTTCCCCTCCCCCTTTTCTGATGAAGGGTCTAGGCCCGAAACGTCAGCCTCTCTGCTCCTATGATGCTGCTTGGCCTGCTGTGTTCATCCAGCCCTGCACCTTGTTGTCTCAGTGATGCAAAGCAGTTGCTTTTACTAATTAGTGCAGCTTCCAAAATTTTGTCGGATAAATTTAGTAACTCCCCCATCAAATTGCACGTTGTGTAGTGTCTGTCAGAGGTAAACTGGCAGAATGACTGCAACTTCTAATTACAAAAGTCATGTTGATTCAAGCATCAGCTTACTGAAGTAGATTTTGAACAACCGTCAACTAGGTCTTTTAATGTATGAAAGCTACTTTATTTCAAAATTTGGATTAATATTAAAGTAACTTTCAATATTTATGTTGTTACTGATTGAGTGGGGATTGTCTAATTTTTTTTTTAACTGTTCTAACCAGGCAATATATCAATGTGTTTTTTCACTCTGCTTCAGATAATGAAAAAATGTTAGCAGACTATGGCGTTTTGTTTGTCTCTGCATGGAAGAATACACACAATTTCAGAGTGTGGAATAGCAACAAACATCCTGCTGTCACTGAAATCAATCCCGGGTAGGATAACGTCATTTATTGTGTGTTTTTCATTATCCAGTTACTGTTGGGTGTTATGAAGAGTAGATATAATTTGGAGACTTTCTTTACAGATTTATCTTTACAGCTTACAAATCTCAAAACATTGTTGTTTGTATTCTTAATATCGTGAAAAGTTGATACTAATAGCCAGTTTATACAGGAAAAATTAATTCCGATTCCTTTCTTCTTACAGTCTTGTGTCAGCTTTTGTTTTGCTTAATTTTGATATCCACTTGCTGCAGAATGTCCCCGTTTTGAGTTGTTCCATTCGACATCGTTCCAGTTTAGCATCATGTTTATAATGAGGCTGATAGGTGCACTTAGTGTTGGAGTTCCTGTGTTCGTACCTTTTGCATCAGGATTGACGTGGAGTCATGTGACCCAATTAGCAGCAGTTTGGAGGGCATGCTCTCCCACTCCCCAATCTTCCTGCTCACTGCTTCATTCCCAGATCCTCCATCTCTTGTCTTCTCCAAATTCCTCACTCATACAACATGTGGGTTTTGCTAGCTGCATCAGCATGAATTGTCCATTCCTAATTACCATGGAGAATGTGGTTGGTTATGAGCTGCCTTCTTGAATTTCTGTAGTCCAATTTGTGCAGGTATAACCATAATGCTGTTAGAGAGGGAGTGACCCAGAGGCAGTGTAGAAACAACGATATACTTCTAGGTCAGGTGGTGATTGTCTTGGAGAGCAACTTGAGGGTGTTCCCATGTGTCTGTTGCCCTTGTTCTCCTTGATCAGTGGTTTGCAACTGGTGTGCCAGTAAGCTGTGACAAGATGAAATGTGTGCTATGAAATTTTCAGGAAGCAGCATTGCTTTACCTGAGAATCGAGGCAGTGTCCATGCTTCTGATTTCCTCTGGAAGTTCAATGTCCATTATTAAAGGCAATATGAGCTGACACCAGGCGCCCCGATCAACTGCACATACACAAGCCTCTAGAACTGCACGTGTGTAGACTTTCGATGCTATACATGCACGGAGCTTCTGTACTGTGCATGTGTAGTGAAAGGGCAATCTGTTCAGTTATGCAGCTTGCTTGCACATGCGCAGGACCAAACATGGGTATGAGTATGTGCAATGATCGCGTATCGTATTTTTGGTATGAGAAGAAACTGCACATGCACCGTAAAGAGGTACACACTTGAAACAGCTGAAGAAGTGGCCTGCCTGTCTGATCACATTTCCACATCAGCACAGATTTTAAAGTGAATATTTTTGGAATTTTTTTCTAGTTGTGCCACTTTTCTGGGTCTTAGATTCTAAGAAGAAATGGATATGTTTGTCAAACAAGGCGATTCCTCCACTAACTCCGTCAATGATACACCGGAATCCAAAGGGGAAAAGAAATGCAAGAACTATTCAGAGACAACACAATGAGAGCTATCTGGCCTTTGGATTTTCATCAACAAGAGGCATTGCTTGCCCTTTACCTGAATGTCTCATCTGTAGATAGAAGTTGACAAACACTGTGATGGTACCAATTAACTTAAGGTGCCCTTTAGAGATGATGCGTCCATCTCTTGTGAACAAATATGTTCAGTCCTTCAAGAGCTTGAGAGGACAAATCATCAAGCAAACACAGCATTTCATGAAGTGTGTGTGGGTATCGATTAAAGCTCTTAACAGGTGGCTGATCTTGTAGAAGAAGCCCCATACCATTGCTGAAACCTTAGTCATGCCTGCATGTGAAACAAATTGTAAATGTGACTTTAGGGACTGATGCTGCAGAAGAGATTGACAAAATTCCACGCTACGATAATACATTTTAATTTCAAATTGACAACATCTGTTGATATCGAAGAGGTGTTACAAGAGGCAAGGTGCCCCAGATCAAAAGGCTTGGCATACAGTAGCATGTCCAGGTTGCCCACTAACCCAGTAAATTGAAATTTACATCTTGTTTTGCTCTGATCCATTGTTAATGAATAGTTAGAAATAGTTGAGTTGAGCAAATTTTGAAAATGTGTCTGTGCTCACAGTGAAATACAATGTATTTTTGGTGCTGAATTTGAGACATTAATGCTTTTGATCCTTTTTTAGCTTGTTGTATATACTGTGTTGAAAACCTCTCTAGTAAGGTGTAACCATAACAAATGCATTTTGATAAGGTTGGGAACGACTGTTCTGGATGCTGTTGGTCATGGATTTGGACGGTGCTGTCTTAGGAGCATTGGTGAATTTCTGAAGAGTATCTTGTAAATGGTACACACTGCTGTCACTGAGTGTCAGAGTTGGAGGGAGTGAATGTTTCTGCATGTAGTGTCAATCAAGTGGGCTGCTTTTTCCTGGATGGCATCCAGCTTCTAGAGCAGCGTATTGTATGTCCCTCCTTTTGCTGAGCCTCTCCTGAGCCCTCATTCAATCCAAGGGTTTGCATGAGGGAACAAGTGAGCAGGAGCTAAGTAAAAAGAGTTGATATTTTATGTTTTAAAATTTGTTATTTTAACAGTTATTTAATTTGCAAGTGAAAGGAATTTAGTAGTGTTTAATGTTTCAACTTGTAGAGTATAAAGTTTTAACGTTTTAGGAATACTTCTGGAGAAGTCAGTGGTGAGTAGCCACTTGAACTCCTGCAGTATGTGAGGTGTAAGTAAATCCACAGTAGTGTTAGAGAGGGAATTCTAGAATTTTGATCCAGTGACAGTGAAAGAACAGCGATGGCATTCAAATTAAGGATATATGTTTTGGAAGGGAACTTATGGCTGGTGGTGATCCCATGTATCTACTCCCCTTGATGTTGGAATTCTTGGGTTTGGAAGTTGCTGTCAAAGGACCCTTGCTAAGTCTGCTGTATTTTTTGTAGATGATGTACACTGCTGCCATTGTGCATCAGTAATGAAGGGAATGCATGCGAACATTGGTTTTAATGGGAAAGTCTAAACTGCTTAAATTTCAACTTCTCAGAAATTCAATTACAACAATAAGTGAGGAAATACTCTATTGGACTGCGTCCATGTAAAATTGTAACATTGTAATTGCATCTCAGGTTTGTAACTCAGAACCTCACAGTGGACTGCAGAAACCTTTATACTTCAAATGAAACTCTTAACTGCCCTTTGGACAATAAATGCTGGCCTAGCTAGTGACACCAATATTCCGTGAATAAATGAACAAAAACCTCTATTTTCCAAATTGACCTATGGATGTGTCAGCTGTGATGCATGTGCCATGATCGCTTACATCGCCATTATCCAGTCATTCATTTACCACATACTGTTCCTCAACCGTTTAAGCACAATATATGATCATTTGAGATGAAAAGTACCTTGCCTATTTCTTTCGGCTGCTGAGTCCAAAGTTGAAGAGTTAATTTCAACTAATTATGAAGAAAGAGCCATAAATGTTTGAAAAATGCTACCTTACCATCATAACCTATCACCCGCCAGGGTCTTTCTTCCCATCCCCAATGACGCTGTTTTATCATACTCTAATTCTCCTGAATGAATCTATCTTGGATGGACTTTTATGACCCCCAGTGCTTTCTGAATTAATTTTGAAACTTCAGTCTAGATGAAAACCTATAACCTCAAGGAAAATATTGAAACATGCAGAAAACATTGAACTAACTTCAGTACTTCAGAGAACAAGAGGACTATTGCACAGAACAGAAAGCAGTTTTGAATTTCAGCTATATACTAATTTATAGAGGTAGTAGCTGAGCTGCCAATGGCTAGAGAATTTCTGGAGCAGCGTAGATTGAAGTTGCACATCATGGCCATGTGAAATTCCCGACACAACTGACTTTATGGGAATTACCTGGGAAATTAAATTATCTGATTGGCAGTTCCCTTGCCTCTAGAAGCCTCCAAAAGAGTTCATTAAAATAGGAAAATTTGGAGTGTTTCAGCTCTCTTAAGCCTAACAGATATCCAGGAAAGATAGACAATTAAAAATCTGCTCGAACTCTTCAGTAAGTATTATAGTGAACCTCCAACTTGCCACTCATCCACAACCAGATTTTGAAATAAGCCATTAAATAATTTCAAAATCTGGCAATTGTTGAATCTTCTATTGTCAGCATCACCACAGAATTTGTTACTTGAAGACTGATGGAAAAGAGCTTTCTTAGGAATGTTTTCAAAGCAGCAAACAGATCCAACAGGCTCCCCCTGTTGAAAAATAGAACAAATGTTAGAATCAATTGCTTGTATGTATGCAACATCTTAACGCACTCCAATACTTTAAATTTAATGTGACCATGTATTTTTGAAGTTCTATTTGACATTGGATCACTTGTTTAACTAAATTGAATTTTGATTGAAAAGTGCATGTGTGTGCATCAGCCTGGTGTAAACTATAAAATAATCTGCGTTGCCAGGCAGCCCTGTGTCATTGTAAGCAAATTTAACTCTTCTGAAAATCTTCACAATAGAAAACCCACAATAGAATAGGTTAGACTTAGAAATGTGAAAATTGGTTTTAATTGTGATCCATTGTACGTGAAATTTGTCAGCCATATATAAAGTGTATTTGTTCAAAATGTGTAACAAATGGATAAAATGTACATTTTTGCTTGCTGTAGAAGCCATCAAACTTGTTTTATTGTCGTAGTACTTTTACAAGTATGTATAATGTAAATATTAATCTGATTTCACTTCCATAATGCAAGCTTTTATTTTCCAATAACACTCTCATTGTAGCAAGAGATAATTAACCTAGTTTAATTTGACTTTGAAACTTAGTGATAGTGTTGGGTAATGTTTATTCATTGCCAGTTAGGAAACATCCTCTAGGAGAATCAGAATGGAATTTTTGACATACATTTCTCTTTGTCAGGCATCCATTCCAGGGACAGTACAATGTATCAGACGTCAAACTAAGATTGTCACAGTAAGTATTATGAAAATTTGAAATGTTGTGTTTTATTTAACTTGTCTTCAAATTGAATAAGTTATTCAGACTTTCAAGAAGAAACTTTTTTTCGGTTATCAGTTTTGAAGAAAGAAAATCCTTCCTCACTTATTCATAAACCTCTCATAACAGGGGTAGGTTTCATCCAAAACAGAAAGGGTAGCCAGAGAACTATTTAGAGCATTTTATTCTACATAGTATTGTTGTATTCTCAAATGTTTCACTGGAACATAAGATACAATCTGCAAATACCTTTCACATAAAGACTCCATGACACTATCTGAAGCAAAGCAGACTTTTTACATATACCGGGGCATTATTTTCCCTCAACTAACATTGCAGAAAATATTTTCTTGTCATTTATTTTGTTTCTCCTGTTCATTGGATATTACTTTTTACAAACCAGTAGTCAAATTTTCTCTGTATTACAACAGTTATTAAACTCTAAAATTAATTGATCGACAATGGAATTCTTTGGAATGTCCCATGGTTGTGACAGTTATTTATTAAAGTTTATTCTTCCAGTGCTATTTTTTCCCCCAATTATCAGCAACACTTGCACACAGGAAATATTCAATTGCTTCTTTCACTTGGTCTTATCTTAACACTAATAGAATGTAAAGTTTTGAGAACTATTTTAAGGATGAGGCTGATAGAATATCTAAAAAGCAATACTATAATAAGGCTCACAATGCATTTGGAAGGAAATTCTGCTGGCAAGTTCAAATCCAGAACTAGAGGGCATAGGTTTAAGGTGAGAGGGGAAAGATTTAAAAAGGACCTGAGCTGCCAGAGGAAGTGATGGAGGCTGATACAATTACAGAATTTAAAAGGCATCTGGATGGCTACATGAATAGAAAGGTTTTAGGTGGATATGGGCCATACGCTGGCAAATGGGACTAGGTTAGAATGGGATGTCTGGTCAGTGTTGATGAGTTGGACCAAAGGGTCTGTTTCCGTGCTGTATTACTCAGTGACTCCATGATTCTCTAAGTCTCCTTGACTTAAAGGATTTTAAGAGAGAACTCCAACTTGGAATCTCCTTTCATGTTTTATCACAGCTACAATATTTAATAAGTGTAACCAGAAAAATAGCTAAGGAGAGAGGAGGATTTGGAAATGGGGAGTCTTCCAGGAATGGAGACAAATGGATTTGTGAGAGATGTCTCTGCTCAGGCAGTGGATAAAAAGAGTTTGGCTCAGGACATTCACACACCTTCCAAGAGCAGACACTATGGGCCACACTTCTACTCGGGTAGTGAACAAAGAGGTAGTGAGGTTCTGAACTTTATTCACATTCCAGGAGTGAATGAAGCTAGACACTTGGGATCCACCACTATTTGGGGCTCCTTAGCAGCTGGGCTACAAGTGATCAAAAATCCGAAAGTGGCAGCATAGGGAAATCTGTAAATGTATTGTCGGTGAGAAGCTGCCATTAGGGAGAGAGTTTAAAAAGTTCAAAGATAGAAAATTCATAATTCATAAAGAAATAACTGCTACTTGGATTTCATTAAGGAACACTATCAAAAGGGAATTAAAGTTAATTCAAGTCAAAGTAAAATAATCGTGGATTTGTTATTGGGAAGTCGTGTTAGACAAACTTGTTGGTGTTTATTCAAGACTTTACTGAAAAAGTTGATAAAGTGGAGTCGATAGATGCTGTATATTTATACTTTCAGAAGGCTTTTGATGAGAATCCCAAAAGGGGGTTATTCAAACAGATGGGATACAGGGTAATGTACTGGCATGGATTAGGGATTGGCTAACAGGCAGAAAACCAAAAGTAGGAATAAACAAGTTATTCTCACGTTGGCAAGCTGTGACTAGCGATATACTGCAAGAATCAGTACTTGAGGCATCAGTTGTTCACAATATATGTGAATGATTTGGTTGGGACCAAATTTGCGATAATACACATCTGAAAGAGAATGTGTTGTGAAGAAGATGTAAAATAACTTCAGGAGGATTTGGCCAGGCTTAGTAAGTGGACAGAAACAAAAATATAATGTGCAAAAATTTGAGGTTATCCACTTTGGTGGATGGAATAGATGTTAAAAGGTTTGAAAGTGTAGACGTACAAAAGGACCTAGGTGTCTTTGTCAGTATTTACTGAAGACTAACATGCAGCTGCATCAAGCAATTAGGAAGGCTAATTGAATGTTAACCTTTATTGCGAGAGGTTATGAATACAGGAGCGGTTCCGCATTGCTTCAATTGTATAAGAACTTGGTTAGACTATACCTGAAGTACAATGTGCACTTTTGGTCTCCTTACATCAAGATATTGTTCCTATAGAGAGAGTGCAACAAAAGCTCACTAAACTTCCTGAGATAGGGGAGGACTCTCCTCTGAACAGAAGTTGACCAAAAATGCCTTAAGGAATAGATAGAGTTGATATAGATACTTCTCCTGGTTTTTGTTTTGTGAGTCTCAAACCAGGGGGCACAATTTAAAAATAAAGGTGGTGCCATTTAGAACACATGAAAATTTATTTCGCTCAGAAGAGTATTGAATCTTTAGAATTCTCTACTCCAGAGGGCTGTGGAAGTTCGGTCTTTCGGAATGTTTAGAGATTGATAGGTAGCTAATGGTGTAAACTGTTGTGGAGATAATTTGGGTAAAATGCATTGAGGTGTTCAACCAGCCATGGTCACATTAAATGGCAGAGCGGACTCAATGGGCTGAATGGCCTACTCATGTTCCTTTGCTGCTATATCCCAAGACAAATACATGTTATTTTCCTGTCTGTAATTTTACTGTGACAACAAAATAAGCCACAAACATGAACAAAGCTACAGCTTTCGAAGTTTCATGAAGCCTGTTGCATTTTTTGCCAATCTCTAATTGCCCTTGGACTGAATGACTCGATTCACCATTTCAGAAGACAGTTAAGAGTCAAAAGCATAGCTGTGGGCTCACATGGCCAGTCTGGATAAGGATCCTAAATTTCTTACTCTAAAGGACAAATTGGAATTTTACAGGAATTGATAATGGTAGCCACAGTCACCATTACTGAGGCAAGCTTTATGTTCTTGTTAATTGAGTTTAAATTCCACCACCATCTCTCCTCTGAATAATCTTTATTGAAGAAAACTGATTATGTTTATAAGTTGTATTACAGCAATGTGATTAAATAACATTGGAGAAGCCATTTTTGTCTGGCTTTTTTTCAAACCATCAGTTGTCCTAAAGCACCATCTTGTGGTAGGTTTTTTTTATAGCAGGCAATCTTCAAAACTAGAGATAACAAGGTGTAGAATTTCTGAAGAAGGGTCTAGGCCCGAAATGTCAGCTTTCTTGCTCCTCTGATGCTGCTTGGTCTGCTGTGTTCATCCAGCTCTACACCTTGTTATCTCAGATTCTCCAGCATCTGCAGTTCCTTCTATCTCTGAAACAATCTTCAAAACTGTTTCCTTGCAAAATTGGACAGAATAATGAAATGTGATTCTAAGGATATTGTTTTGGAGGATCAAAATGTAGAATTGAGTGAGTGTAGATAAGGAACAATAATGGAAAGAAGTCACGAGTGGGAATGGTTTATTGTCACATCGTGTTCCCCACCCCCACCCAAAAAGGCATACACACCGTACACACAAGCTACACCACTGGACAGAGTATAAATTTTAAAAAAGGATCGAATATAGAACTGTACAGCATAGGAACAGGCCCTTCAGCCTACAATGTTGTGCTGAACGTGAAGCCAAATTAAACTAATCCCTTCTGCCTGCTCTTTGTCCACATCACTCCATTCTTTGCATATTTATGTGCTTATCTAAAAGTCCCTTAAATGCCTCTAATGTTTCTGCCTCTACCACCCCTGGAAGCGCATTCCACACTCGTACCACTCTGTTTTAAAACAAAACCTTGCCCCTCACATCTCCTTTGAACTTTCCCCCCTCACCTTAAATGCACCTTATATTAGACATTTCAACTCTGGGGCAAAGATTCTGACCGTCAACCCTATCTATGAATCTCATAATTTTATAGACTTATATCAAGTCTCCCATCAGCCTCCACTGCTCCAGAGGAAACAACCCGAGTTTTTCTAGCCTCTCCTTCTAGCTCATACCCTCTAATCCAGGCAGCATCCTGGTAAATCTCTTCTGCCCCTTCTTCAAAGCTTCCATATCCTTCCTGTAATGTGGTGACCAGAATTGAATGCTGCTGGACATTGAAGTACCCTGCCCAGAGTACATTTGGTGCCCTGACAACCCTCAGTTCTTCCTCCAAGCATTGCTCAACATGGAGGACTCTGGTTAATCAGCCAAGGGAGTACGGTACATGGTAATCAGCAGTGGAGGGGGGGGGTTTCCTTGCTCATGTTTAACCTGAAACCATGAGACTTCATGGAGTGCACGGTCAATGCTGAGAACTCCGAGGGCAATTCCTTCCTGACTGTATACCACTGTGCTGCCATCTCTGCTGGGTCTGTCCTGCTGGTAGGATAGGATATAGCCAGCATTGGTGATAGTGATGTCTGGGACATTGTCTGTAAGGTATGACTCCATGACTATGTCGATGTCAGTTGCTTGACTAGTCTGTGAGACAGCTCTCCTAGTTTTAGCAGTAGCTGCCGGACGTTCGTAAGGAGGACTTTGCAGGATTGATATGGCTGTTTCTGCCGTTGCCTTTTCTGGTGCCTAGGTCAAAGCCAGGTGGTCCGTCTGATTTCATTTCTTTGTTGAGTCCTTGAAGCAATTTAATACAACTGATTGGCTTGATAACTGATAGGTTATTTCAGAGGATAGTTGACAGTCAACCACATTGCTGTGGGTCTGGAGTCACATATAGGCCAAACCAGGTGAGGATGGCAGAGGCCAGCACATTCGCTCATTGGTTCGCACTGCTGCCTTACAGACCCAGGGACCCAGGTTCAATTCCAGCCTCTGGTGACTGTATGTGTGGAGTTTGCACATTCTCCATGTCTGCATGGGTTTTCTCCGGGTGCTCCGGTTTCCTCCTACAGTCCAAAGGTGTTC